TCCCTGGGAGTATCTGCTATTTTATATCCTTCTGAGCAGACTTTCTCTGTCTGATATTTCATATTCTATCACTCTGCACCTCTGGAGATTCCTCTACTTATAGTTGCGCAGTGACCTCCCTTGCCTACAAACTGAAGAGCTCTCTGCTAGCTGCCCTGACATGGTGGTCGTCATCTACCAAACCCTTCCAAACCCACTCCTAAGGCTTCGGTGGCTGGCCTGCCCTCTAAACTGGGTAGGACAGTGGAATGTGATGACGGAAAGAGAGGCTGGAGATTCACAGCCTGGAAAGACCAGGTAGGTCCAGGAGCTTCATGAAGCGAGGGTCTGTTACCGCTCAATTCAGTCCGGCTGCATCAAACTCAGCAGGTGAAGAGAAGTCCACTGGAATGGGACAAGGTCAGAGGCGGCAAACTACCTGGTCATAGACTGGAACAGCATGAGTCTAAATGGGATTTTCTCACGTTTCCTATATGGACTGCAGGCGAGAGGTTAAGTGAAGACAGCCTGGCCGGAGACATTGAGAGCAGAGAGGAGTGCAGGGCTTGTTCTCCTCCTGGGCCCTTATCCGCAGCTACACGGTATCAGCTATTAGGAAGCCCAGAAAGCCTCAGGCTCAGAAGTCACACTCTCAAGCGTCCACATGGGCACACAGGTCACATGTGACAAACCAGGTACTAAGGCCTGATAATGAAGAACGGAGACTGACCATGGGAATGAACACAAACGGGGGGGGGGGGGGGGGGGGGGGGGGGGGGGGGGGGGGGGGGGGGGGGGGGCAGCAGCTCTTTAGCTCCGGCCAACTGCTGTCATGTAGGAAAGCTGACTTTATTGTTATTTGATTGGCTGATTTTCCAGTGAAGTCAGAAATCTCTTTAGATGGGGATTTCAACTCTAATGCTATCAATTTTGAAAGACGTTTAAAGCAGTTATTGGCCAAACAAATCACCTGTGTTCTGACTGACCATGATGGTCCCCTTAGCTGACAGCTGCCTGGTACTTGGAGAAGCCAGGTGACATGGGCTGAAATCTTGCTGTGAGCTGCTTTTAATGCCATGGGGATGATTCTTCTGCTCTACAGAAACAACTACTCGGAAGTTAACTCAAACCCTGTTCTTCTATAAGCTTTTAAGTTCAGCTCACAAGTCTCTGAATTTATTTGCTTTTTGGACAGAGTATCCCAATTACATTTCGACTCCTTTAAGGATGAAAATGGCAAATATATTTGATGTCTTTTCTTTCTATTTGTTTGAGACAAGGTCTTGTTATGGCCCAGGGGGCCTCAAACTTTCAGCAAAGCCCAAATGCTGGGGGCACAGGTATGTGCCACCACACCCATATCTGATTTAAGTACTTCATTTATCTGACCCAAAGTTTCATAAGAATTTAGGGCAAATCTTAGTCATTGTAAATGTCCCCAAACTACACAGAAACAAGTAAGATTTCAGCTTAAAAATCAATTTAAATATTCAGTACTTTTTAAATGTTGTATTACATGGCAAACCTACTTATCTTAACAAACTCTCTTCCATGTCAAGGACTTACAACACAAATTGAGAGAGCATGTGATAATGCACGCCTTTTATCCCAGGACTTAAAGGCTGAGGCAGTGGAGCGGACAGTGAGTTCAAAGTCGGCCTGAGTTACATTGTAAGACAATTTCAAGGAAAAACACAAGTCAAAACCAAAAAAGATCTCCAGACCTACAGATTATTAGAAGCAAATAGTAGTGATATGGCTCTGAAATACCTTTATTCTGAGGCCTCCGTCACAAGATGCTTACCTAGCAAGGAAGCAATGAAGTCGCCCCATGAACTTGGGGCTACTGTGTCAGATGCCTGAGATTACAAAATAGCCAGAAACTTTGGTTAGGCACCAACAGGATTCTGAAGGAGCCGAGAAACTACTATTTATGGGTGTGTAAAGCAGTCACAGGGTTCCTGTCACAAATCAAAGCGTCAGTCAGTCTACATGCTGGGTTGATTTTTCTGCACCTAGTTATACCTGCTTGCTTAAGTCTAGAACCCAGCTTAGATGGTTCAGCGTCCACCTTGACTGGGTGGTACGTTTTCTTGGCTCTAGAAAAATTAAAACCTCTTTCCATTTTAATAACGTCTGCTTTCTAGTTCTTCTCTTCGTGGAGAGCACTCCGAGAGCTCTTCAACGAAGCCGGCTGGCTGCAGGCTCTCCCTTGACCGTGACCTGTAGTCCCAATTCCTAGGGTTCTGCTGACAGTTCTCACTCCTCACTCTGCTGTGTTCCAGATTTACCTGGCTTTCCCCTACAGCACTCTGTGGTACCCTCTTTCCTAAGACTTCACTGTTAGGTCTACTATATGCACACTATTGATGTGGGAGTGATTTCTTATTAATAAAGAAACTGCCTCGGCCCTCATAGGACAGAAAATTAGGTAGGCGGAGTAGACAGAAGAGAATGCTGGGAAAAAGAAGCTTAGTAGAGGAGTCGCCATGATTCTCCCGCTCCAGACAGACGCAGGTTAAGATCCTCCCTGGTAAGCCAGCTCGTGGGCTACATAGAATATTAGAAATGGGTTAGAGCAATATGTAAGAGCTAACCAATAAGAAACTGGAACTAGACGGGCCAGGCAGTGTTTGAAAGAATACAGTTTCCGTGTAATTATTTCTGGGCATAAGCTAGCCATGTGGGCGGCCGGGTGCCGGGGACGCAGCCCTGCCGCTCCTATTTCAACACACTATCACCATGAGGACTTGACCAAAGAACCACATGTTCAATACCATGGAGCTCTACCCCAACTCCCCATGGCTCTATTCCTACTCCCTTGGGACCATAGAGCTTCCCAGAATAGAGAAAATTTTGGCATTGTTCATGCTAAGAAAGAGACAACCAAGCCTTCCCTCTCCTGCTGGACAAACAAGCTGTCTCCAGAGGAGGGAAGGAAACTAATGTTTGGTGAACACTGAGTCAAAAGTCTCACTTGTCTCATTCACTCCTAGTAGCCACATGTGGCACTGTTAAAGGAATCAAACACGGAGATAGTAACTTGACAATGGAAGGCAAAGGTAAAACCAAGATTCAAACCTAGTCTACACAACTCCAAAAGGCTCTCTTGTACACACTGCTTTTAGTTCTTAAAGACAAGTCTAGCTCGTCAAACGTGGCAGAAAGACAGTATTTTGATGGAAATGCTGCCTTGCCAGATTTCCAGCCACGGCTATGACAAACTGTAATCTGGAAATGTCTCAACCTCTGTGGCCCACCTCTCTATCAAAGTTCTCAGGAAGAGCTCAGGATCAAGTGTTTGCAGCGTTCGTGTTCTCTAGCGCTTTCACCAGCCCCGGAAGGCCGTGGTCGTGTTCATGACTGGAGTCACCCACTCTGTGCTTTAGTCTGTCCCTGAAACTTAAGTTCTTCCCACTCACACACACTGACCCTCTTGCTCCTCTTCCTTTGTTCAGCAACACAAGCTAGGCCTTCATTCCTACTCCTTAAGGTCTTGTCAGCCTAGCAGAACCATCTATGACCCCAAAAGGCCCTGCCTTTTGGATTTCGGTCCCCTCCACCGCCTTATCTTTTCCATTTCGCTTCTTCCCCTCTTCTGTGAATTCTTTGAGAACTGTACCTGGAGAATCAGGGTAGAGCAGTTACGGATAGGTCACGTATAGGCAGTTCGTCCAAAGTCCGGCAGAACGGCAGACCCAGGATGTACCCTTCACTCTCACCTCCACTGCCCTACACACTATATACTAAAATGGATAAAAAAACCTAGCTCCCCCCCCACACACACACACTGATTTTGGGTTAATGTACAGAGCTTCCCCCAAAGACAGGATTGACCTTAATGATCAAGTGAATAGGGATTAAGCAAACAGAATAAGCCAATAAAATGTGGCTGGTGCAATAGAGAGCCAAGGCCCAGGGCCAGAGTTACACAGCAAGAGGTGACTGCAAGGTGACTCTAAATGCCCTCCAGCCCAGAGGGATGGCTTGGCATCAAGCATCTTCCCCTATGGGGCCAGTGTCAGAGCCTTGGGAAGTTGAGTGCGTATGGAGGGGAACTGCCGAAGTTTGGCACCATGAGATAAAGGGGGGTGGAAGCTGGGGGATGATGCAGAGAATCCCACCCAGTCAAGTGTATCTCAGGCTGAAGTTTGAGTAGCCTGGTTCAACACCTTCTCCACAAGGTCTGCTTTAGAGGCTGGACTGTGAGGACGGTGGAGCCCTCCAAATCTATCTGCCCTTCACAACAAATGTGGGCCCAGCAACCAAACATATTTTCAGATTCCCAAAGCTAACCAAAGGGTTTTGTTCTTTTGTGTTCCTACACCCGGCCTTTCTCTGGAAGGATTCAAGGCAAACCCTCTGGACTATGTAAGAGAAACCCGGACAGAAACACACCGTCTACTTTTCCTGCAAGCCCTGAGTAGCTACTCTCTTCCAGTCATCAGCTCAGGCTGGATCACTTCTGTAGAAGGCCTACCCTACTGTGAGTATCCAAGTGGAGTGAGGAGCTTGTCCTTGTACATCCCTAACTCCCCTACTGAATGAACTGAGAGCACTCAGTCCAAGAAACTAGCCCAGTGCCTGGGACAAGAGCACTTAACAAATAGAACCCATTTTTCTCCATTTTAATTCCTTCTGCCACTTAACACACTTGTAATTTAAACACACTAAATGGCATAAAAGTAAACCAAAAGGGCCTTAGCTGCTGCGGTACATTCTTACTGAGTTTAGATGAGAGTGGCGACAGGTTCTTATGACAGCCAGATGTGACCAACAAGGGGGAGGGACTGATCTGAGCAGGGGTGGGTGTCAGTGCCTCAGTTATGCGAGGGACAATTCTCCAGGTGGAACAAGGAGCCATGGTGAGATGCTCAGAGATGACAGCACCTCCCCAGGCCCAGGCTGCAACGAGCAGGAGTCTGGTCAACCAGGCTGAAGAGGAAGCAGAGCTAGGTACCGGGAAGACGAGTCACTGGAAACCTGTCACACACCACCGAAGCAGTAAATCACATACTATGAACCACCACAGCCGTTTATTAAGTGCTCGCCAGCACCGTGCTAAAGCTTTACAGACATCATTTCAGTTAATCCAGCAACCCTGAGGTAGATATTTTCAAACCCCCACCCCCACATATTATTATAATAAAGGAAACTGAGACTCAGAGAGGTTAAAGGAATCAACCAAAGTCAAACCCAGCTGGTAAGTAGCAAGCTAGAAATGTGTACTGAAGTATCAGAGCCCAAAACGCATGCTTTTAAACACTAGACTGTTTCCCCTTGAAAGTTAAAGGACACACATTTCTTCCCCAAACAAGGCTCTATGGAGGAGGGAGGGCAGTTTAACTGACTTCTTGAATCAGTCCTTGTACTTATTCTCTTGGAGGAATAGAGTGCCATCCCATGAGAAGCTGACCACTGGGTCCCTTTCTCTTGTTCCCATACCATTCCAGCCCTCCTCATGGGAGGCCTCCGCTCCTGACACCAGCCTACTATGCTGCTTCCTTCTAGCAGCCTCTGGCACACAGGGTCTGTCAAACTTGGTGACACCGAACCAAAGACCTGAGAGAAATTAGGGAACATTCAGAAAATGTCCCTCATCCCTGAACTGCTGGACCCTAAGGCACAAGAACACATTCAGATGGAACCACCAAGTTCACTCTTCCAGCCTGGCTCCCAAGCCTGGCCTCTTTCTAGCAGTCTCTCCTCACCAAGTTCTTTGCCTCTCCAGGTCCCTCCCCAATTGTCTCCAAAGCGTCACTACTCACAGGCTATGGGCATTGAGGACACCAGTTTCTGAGCCTTTGCTCCTCCAGAAATGTCCCCAAAGTGCTCAGCTGGGCTCTAATCAGGACCCCCTGGATCTTTAATTAAACAGAGTTGACTGAAGGACAAGCAGAAAGGCCCACCGGCCTGAGACAAGCTGACCAGCATGTAAAGACAAAGTAATGGCAAGAGGACAGAGCAGACAGAACACAGACTAACCAGGAACATGTCAACAGAGCTACCTGAGGTCAGAAACTAAGAGGGAACAGGGAGAACCCTGTGGAGAGGGACCCTAAGCTAAGCTGGCCAGCACTTGTAACCAGAGAGCTTCTACGAGGAAAAGAGCCTTGGTAAAGAGGCCACTAAGAGCCTGGGAAGGAGCAAGCTCAAAGACCCACCTAGAGGTACATTAAGAGGACACCAAGAGCAATTGTGGGGAAACTGGAAAGGCCTGGGCCTCTAGAACCTCTCAGCTACTTCTATCCATCTCCACACCTACCCCATCTAGGCAAAACTGGTCAGAAAGTCACTGCTGGTAGCCCTTGCTAAATTCTGCACCAAGTTTTGAAGGATGAAAGACAACAGAGGTAGGGAACTTAGCAAGGAGTGAGATAGCACCATCCTTGAGAAGTTCACATCATGGAAGCAGACAGAAACCCATCCCAACCCTTGAGGAGGCCTGGGATCTAAGAGATACTCGAATGACAAGGACTTACTTCTTGGTGCAGATTGATATTGTCTTAGGCATTTGAAGGGACAGAACGTTGAGGTAAAATCAGGGACATTGGAAGATCTAAGGTGGATTTTCTACACCTTATTAACAGTTAGCTGGGTCACTGTCACTAGTCTGAGCCAGAACCTCGATGTCCCCATAGCCAGCACTGCACTGATCCAGAGAGGCTTGAAGGGTGAGTGTCTTCCTCAGGGAGCCCAGTGCTGTGCATCCTCTTCCTCACAACAGCGCCCACCTTGCACGGATCTGAGCTCTGCTACTTTCCGGGAGTTTCCTCTACAATTTCCAGTCGTTCCTGGGGTTTGGTAAAGATCAGGTTTCCTGCCCAACCTGAAGTGCCGGAATGTGACAAACACTTGTCACAGCTGGGAGACCAACAGTGTTGGCTATTAGAGAAACATTGCCCATAACAGTATGCACACATCAAACTACCCTATTGTTATTCTTTGCCCTAGGGCTTGTATTTAGTACTCACTCATCTATCTTCAACTTTGTTGGTTCATGCAGGAAAATCTGTTTCTAAAGCCACCTCAAGCTGGGTTGGACTCTTAGTCTGTGAAGGCACGCACGCTCCACTCACACTTGTGGGAACTCCAAAAGGGTACTTGGCCCAGAAGATTCTGAGGGTCAGAGACAGGGAATGTCTCCCCATACTGGGTCGGCCCACTAGTAAGGCTTCTTCCCTCTCCCTCTCCTAACAGATTCAGATTAATGATGGCTCATTCCTAATTGTCAAATTTCTTTTCCTTCATCCTGTGTCTAATCACCAGTGACAGAAACCATTACGCAAATGAGAGCAGACGACTTCCCCCAACTGTTCGCGTTGGTAAAAACCTTGTAATTTAGAGCTCTGATTTGTAGGGAAGCTGGTCTCCCCCAGGCATCCTGGGCATCTGCTCCACTGATGCCCAGGACGGCCCCTCCTCCACCCAACAACTCCAACCCCCCAGCAAATATTTGACTTCACAAAACAGTAGTTTTCACTGTACTGCTGGTATGAAAACAGAGTCTGCAGCGTGGCTGACCCCTAGACAAGCCCAAGTCTCCACCTTCCGTGGCACATCTGACTCCCACGCTGCTAGTTAGAATGGTAAACTCGGTAGCAGCAATGCTTCCTGCGTTCCAAGTAGAATCTGAACCTGAACAGCCCTAACCTAGATGAGGGAAGGACGTGCATCTCCTCCCCAGAAGGAGGTGACCCAGCAGAAGAGGACCCCAATGGTATAGAACTCCTTCAGCTCTGAAGCAGAGGCATGCTGACAGGAGCTATGGGACCTCCACTGAAGGGTACACAGTACCCTATCCCCAGCAGAGCTAGAACTCACTCCTCTACAGTTGCTTCCAGGCAGCTTCTGGATGTCTCTAGCTAGAGCCCCCACACCCTCTTGCCTGAGTCTGCCTGCACACTGCCTAGGAAATAAGACCTGAGGGCAGGTAGAGAACTGAGAGTTTGGAAGAAACTGAGGAGGAGCAGGAAGAGGGGACAGGCTCATAGCCAAACAGACTAGGTTTGATCTTGACTGCCACTCTCACCTACTCTTTGAGCTGTGTGAAGTGAGAAGCTACCATGCAGGACTGGGAGGACAGAGCTAAAGGCAACAGCACACATCAGGTGTCTAAGACCAGGAGTGGCTATTACATCATACCAGCATCAAGACCAATCCTGTGACGGTCCCAAAGTTTACCTTCTCTCTCCTTGCCCCCAGTCACCCTAGGTCAGACCTGTATGAGGCACAGTATTCTGAAGGATAAACCCAGATTCCCTCCTAAGCATCCCAACACCTTTGAGGGCAGCGGCAGGACATTCTACTGAGAATGAAGACAATCTGCCACAATGACCAATCTAATCCTGCTCTGCCCGGCTCTCTTGCTGTACTCCTCTTTCCCAAAGGAGATGGAGGCCATGCAGGTTACTGCAGTCACACCACCCAGCGCTGGCTGTATTTGAAGAGCTATACCTGCGAAGGTACCAGTTCTGCATACCCACACTGCATCAAAACCCCAGAATGGGGTACTAAAGGCCCCTCCCCAAAACATGTACACAGGTGCACACAAGCATTGGCATGCATCTTCTCAGTCCACGGGGTTCTGTAAGCTGAGCTTCGGGGCAAAGAGCCACAGCTCAGACCTAGAGGTCAAACTTAAGAGGGTGGAAGTAAAAAAGTGGAAGAGAAGGAAATAAAATTAGATTTCCAATTCACTTTAGAGACAAAGATGATGGAGCAAGGATTTGAGGTAAGTGGACACAGGGCCACCACTCTGCCAAACTGCAGGGGCCCCTTCCCTCCGAGCAGATGTGAATGATGGCACTCTGAGGTGTGTAACACTGAGCTGCCCAGCCATGAGCTGCTGCCCGCAGGAGGGCCCACACGTAGCTACAACAGAAAAGTGAATTCTAACTCCATGCACTACCAGGTGTCTACTCTAGTTATGTGACGTAGGTTGGGTCTGGCAGAGGCGCTGGCTCCAAGAGGCAAGAGGACACATTTGTCCTTGCCCTGAGGTGGATGAAAGGTATTGAGTTAGCTGCCTAAGTCTGATCCCATTTCATCTACTCAGCCAGGAAGCTCAGCAGAAGCAGGGGATGTGGCCTGGACAGGGAAAGACATAGGACCCAGAGGCTCAAGGTGTCAGCTTTAGGTAGGCTGCAGTGAGATCTGATCAAGATAGGATGGCTAAAATCCGAATTTGAAAGCTATAGGCTAAATCAGGCAGTATCTGGGGTTCACACTGTACTGTCACATTGGATAAGGTAAGCAGTAGAGAACCTTGGTAAGCAAGAAGATGGCAAGTGTGAACACACACACGTGTGCATATGTGTACACACACATGCAGAGGTTTATACCCCTGGAGCCCAAAGAAGTCAGAGCTAGGAGAACTCCCTCAATACCTAGCGCAGGGGCAAGAGCTGGTACTGAAAGAATAGCTGCGTGTGTCTGTAATTTGGAACATACGCACAATCCTCTATTCCTTGGTTCCCAGGGTTTCCTTCAATGTATGGCTTGAGTTTGTAGTTCTCAACCAGAACCCTATCTAATCTTCTTCTACTAGAAGGCTATCTAGGCTCCCAAAGACAAGCCTCCTTCTCAATGTCCCCATTAGGGACCCAGCAGCTATTGCTATCGGCCTATAGCCTGACTATGCTGCAAAAACTGGCAGAAGGCAGACTGATGAGCACATCCACTCTGGCACCACAACCCAGATGTCACAGGGATACAGGAGCATCTCCTCTCTCAGGCTGAGGCACTGAGGCTTCAGGAGACAGCAGCTGAGAGCCAGAAGTGATATCCTGACCCAGGAAGAGGGAACAAGGAACAGATACATGCATGTGTGTATGTACATATGCATATGCACACATGTACACACACACACACACCCTGAGGTTGACAGACTAACACAGACATGATGAAAACCAGAAGCTGGGACTCCACACACTGAATGCAGGACTGTAGGGGAGCAAAGAGGGAAGGTTCTGGTGCTCAAAAGGCAAGGGTGAGAAATCTTTCCAAATGGGAGTGGAGTCAACTACCCTGCCTCGCCCCAACACCTGCCTCCAGGGCCATGGCAAGAGTCCAGTCCATTAAGTGCAGCGTGCAATACTAGTGCTTGGAGTGTCCTGTCCTCATCAACGAAGCATGTGGACGAGAGAGCAGTCACCTGACAGGAGGCCTGGACCTCTGGCAGGTTAGTTGTAACGGCCTTTAATCATGGTGTTCAACAAAGGCCCCACCTGTAAAGAGAGAGGAGGAGCCCATCAGATCTGCTTGTCTCCTGATCCTGGAGACATTCAATATTCAGCTATGGACAAGGATAAGTGATCACTGAACCTTGTAAATGTTCTAATCAAGTTTCCTGAATGTCAACTTAGTATTCTAGGGCATGACCTTTTGGCGGTCCAGTTTATTTTTCCTTCCTTTTTACGATTCCCTGTGTATCTACAAGTATCACCCATCAGACAGAAGATGATCTGAGGAGCCAAGATGCCCCACACACTTGAAAGTGTGTCTACATGTTTCTCCAATGTGCCTCAAGAATTTTAAATGCTTCTCTATGCTAACAAAAGGTCACCTGCAATTAGTCTTGGTGCTCTCAACCCCACAGGCATCTCTGATGCTGAGGCTAACCACAGGAAGGAGGTAAGGCAACTAAAATTCAAACCTCCTCCTTTCACCCCTTTGGGACCAGTGACACACCTGAGTGAGAAGCAGGACTAACACTACCTACAGCAGCCCTGGCCCAGCTGGGAGAGCATGAGGAGAAGCTTTATTACACACTTCCTATTCCAGAAGAATCCTCTCAGGGGTCCCCAGATGGCACAGATGCCCCGAGGCAGACATTACTACTAGCATGGAACGGATTATAATAGATCCGCCAGTCAAGCCCAGTTCTCACCAGAAAACAAGATTTCCTAAATATACAAATAAAGTCTATGGAGAGGACAGTAGCTGCTGAAACAAGAGGAGCTGCAGAGAATGTCACCAACCCTTACCTCTTGTGGATTCCCCAAGGCCTCTCCAAGCATCTTCTCAATATTTCTCATGATGGCTACTTTCTGGTGAGCTTTGAGAGGGTACTCAATTCTCTTAGGGGTAGGAGCCCCCTACAAAGGAAGCAGTAGCTCAGGAAATACCTTTAACACAGGCTTTCAGCTCTAGCTGCATATTCCCTTCTAAAACACACTTTAATTGTATTCTTTTCCATCTCCCTGAGAGTCACTTCCAGGGATAATCGATAACTCCATCCCAGCCAAAACCACTTACGCCTCCTTTACTCCAGCCCCGTTCCATATGGACACATGTACAAATAAAATAAAAATGTATGTGTGTGTGTATGTGTGTAAACATATATATATATAAACAACCACCAAAAACAAAACTCCACCAATATTCACCTTGTACCAGAAGTTCACAGTGATGGTAATTCCCCCATTTAGTAATGACTCTATGTGGTGCCACCTATTAAAAAGAAAAGAGAGAAGGGGGAGGGCTCTGTTTACTCTCCAGAGACGAGGATGGGAAACTAGTATAGGCCAGCTAAGGAAACAGTGAAGACAGGAGTTGAAGCTCATCCTGTAAAACACACAGTGGGCTAGAGGCTGTAGTGTTCAGTCTCCAAGTACTGAAGAGGTAGATACAGGAATACAGATCTCTTCTTAAGAGACAGAGCTGTCCTCTATGCTTAGTATGCTCATGTCTGGACATGCTGATCTTCCTGCAGGTTAACCCTGCCGCAACTCAGAAGGGACACAGATAAAGCTTTCTGGGAACAGGAAAGAAAGCATTCCGAACAGGCCCCCATCCCTAGCCTCCTCACCAGTACATTGGGATGTAAAGAACATCACCGGGGCCAACCACTGTTTCATAACCAACCACATTTCGGAAATTGGGGAAACTTTCGTAGTCAGGATTGTCAAAGTCCACCTAAGGGTCAAGAAAAAGAAAAAAGATCAGTACAGTGATTGCTTGCTGTGGCAGCTTTTAAAAAAAGAGAGAGAGACTTAAAAATGATTTCAGAGTTTGTATCCAGAAGATACAATGGATGTGAACTGTTCCCGCTCAGAGAACAACTTAACGAAGTCCATGCTCATTTGTTACACAATAAATACTTCTAGACTTCAGTGCCCCCGAGCTCTGAAGAACTCCTCAAAAGCCCAAAGATACGAGGAATTAGGATTCATCCATCACCCAAACCTTTCCCAGCGTTTTCTCCCAAAGTCTAACGGGAAGACTCCTACATGAAGTAGCAAGGCATCTTTCTCCTCAAGAAGAGGATGTCGGAAGCTGGAGAGATGGCTCAGCAGTTAAGAGCACTTGTTGCTTTTGCAGAGGACCCAGGTTTGATTGCCAGCACCTACATGATGGCTCACAGCCATCTGTAACTCCAGTTCCAGGGGATCCAACGTCCTCTTTTGACCTCCACAGGCACCAGGCATGCACATGGTGCATATATATGCATGCAGGCAAAACACTCATACACAGAAAATATTTTATTTACCTATCTCCCTATCAAAAAGAAGTAGCATACATGATAAAAGAAAACAATTATTAATGTCAGTGGAGGCAGTCATATTTTAATGAAACTGAGTCAAAAAAGAATCAAGCTAAGTAATCTGAGTCTACCAACATTAACGATGGAGCTTGTTCCCCAACAATTAGCTCTGTTTATACTTACAAATATCTGGGGTTCATCACCGGAGCCTGGAACATGTAGGCTACACTATGACATTACTCTCTGAACTTGTTTGTAAGGCAAGACCAGCCAATAATGCAGACCTGACAAAACCCCAAAGGGAAGGGCAACCGTATTCCAGCCTCTGATCTCAAAGGCATTCTTAGAATCTGGAGTTTGGCACCCTCTTCAGATCACATAAGCTCACCTGGCTCTGCCTGTCACAGGGATGGTGGACAGGGTATGGATAGAGGCACTCAAACTGATCTGGAGGAAATAAGATGCATCGCTTATGGCCTTTTATCTGGGCAAAGAAGTTCTGTTGCTCATCATAGTGAGCAGGAGTCACATTTCCTGGAAGAAAAGACATTTTCTTAGCTGAGATAGCACGGGTGAACTGCAGGCAGAGCCTCGTGCTGGAATGAAGTCTAGCTGTCCCCTCAGCTAAAAGTTAAATTAAATCTGAAACAGGATCAGGACATTACAACTCTTAGTAAATCAGGTGTTAGATTTTCTGAGCAGCAAACTCTAGCAACCACCACTGTATGGTAGGCATCAGCTAGCAGACGGTCCTCGGTGTTGGCTGATGCCCTTACTGGCAGCAGAGCTCACTAAACAAGCCTGGCAGGCAACAAGCTTGCACTCTTCCTGACTATGGCAAGAATCCAAGGGCAGCAGAACAATGAGAAACGGCTGACATGACTGGTGCCACCAGTGCACGCGATCTCTGAGCTGCTAACTCGTCGCTCTGGGTGCTAGGAATATGCCCTTGCTTCAGGGAGCTCTTCTGGAGCCCAAAGATTCTCAACTGCTGTTCTCACTTCACCAACACCTATGGGATGCAGCATCGCTCAGGGCAACACTGGGGCTCACTGAGACTGCTGACTCCTGATGAGAGAAAGATTACTAAACTACTGAAGAAAGAGTTGTAGAATTTAAGAGAGACTGCTTAGAATGTCACCTTGGCATGGCCTTAGAGTGCAGGCCTGTAATTCCCACTACTTAAGAGTCTTAAGCAGGGATATCATAATTTCAAGGCCAGCATGGACAATTTAGTGAGATCCTGATTCAACATGAAAATGTTTTTAAAATGGCCGGGACAGCTCAGTGGTATAGCACTTGCCCAGCAAGCACAGGCCTACGTCCAACGCCAGGAACCACAAGTTTAAATGTGTACACACACGTACATATATTGCTACCTTGAATTAGTTCTGTTCTAATGCACATTCCATCTATTCCTGTATAACTAGGGTCACATCTGTATACTTGTATAATCTCTGAGTTTAGAGAACATTCCCAGATGGACATGGTGGTACACACCATAATCCTAGCACCAGGGAGGCTGGGCAGAAGAGCTGCTGTGGCTGTGAGCTACCCTGAGCTACACAGTAAGTTCACAGTACCTGGGTATATAACCTAACACAAACATCCTGGAGGACAGCCAAGGAAGCCAAGGCAGCTGTCTCCCACTGCTGACAGTCCACCTACATCCTCAAACAAAAGCCTCGCATCTCTACCAGAGGCATCCGCTTCCCTGCACCTGGCCCCAGGAAAGGAAAGCAATGAGATTAGCCCAGTATCAAGGAAACCGGAACGGTATTCCTTCTGCAAAGCCAAAACTTGGTTTTAAAGAAGCAGATAAGTGTCAATTCATCAGCTGCATGTGGGGAACCTGGTTACCATGTTAGCAGCCATCCAAACCTGAGGAAACAGCAACGAAGGAAGACCAAGGGGCTCATTTTAGGTCAATGATATCAAATAGTTATTCTGCTTCTTTGTTCAACGAAGTTCACCCACCACTTATGACACAGCTGTTTATGGTGCTGGAAATGAATAATAACCCTGCGCTGCAAGCAGGGTTCCTTCTCCTGAACAGCACTTAGACACTTCTACTGAAAACAAAAAACAAGGGGGCTAGAGAGGTGGCTCAGCCGTTTGGAGCACTTGTTGCTTTGGCAGAGGTCCAGGGTTCGATTTCCAGCACCCATGTGATGGCCTACAACCATCCTCACTTCAGTTCAAGGGGACCCATTGCCCCCTTCTGATGTCCACCTGCACCAGGTACACAAATGGTATACATACATGCACACACATGCATGTAAGAAAAACATTCATACACATAAAATTAAAAATTTAAAAACCATTAAAAAACTCGGAACACATTTAGTTATGTGCATATAAAATTCCCCATGAAGTATACCATAACATGCCTCTAGGGAGGAAACCTGAGAAACTGGGAATAAAGGAAAGGAGAGACTGATGGCAAAAACCTATTTATAGTCTTCCAACTTTGAACCCATAAAAGTGTATTTAAGAGATAAGGTTTTACCATATTAGAAAAGTTTCTGCCAGGCATGGTGGCACATGTCTTTAATCCCAGAGTTCAGGAGGCAAAAGCAGGTGAATCTCTGTGAGCTAGAGACCAGCCTGGTCTACAGAGTGAGTTCCAGAACAGCCAGAGCTACAGTGAGACCCATCTTTAAAAAAAAAAAAAAGTTTCCATTTTTACAGGAAAAAAAAATCTCTTCATTATACTGTAGAGCAATGGAACACAGTGACATTTCAAGGAGGCCTCACTAGCTTAGTGTCTGTGCTCACACAGCAACTAAGAAAAAAATTTTTTTTTTCCTAGACAGGGTTTCTCTGTGTAACAGTCCTGGCAGTCCTAGCTGTCCTGGAACTCGCTCTGTAGACCAGGCTAGCCAGAACTCACAGAGATCTGCCTGCCTCTGCTTCCAAGTGTTGGGATTCAAGGCATTTGCCAAAACCACCTGGCGAGAAAGGAAAAGAACTTACTTAAGATTGTGTGACACTACCCAAGAGACTTAAAATTATCTCATTTAATCATGGTAGCCATTTATAAGACCATGTTCCTCAGCAGATGAAAAAGTTCAGTGACATGTTCACCGTCATGGAGCTAGTAAGTGGAGGGTCGGCACTCACACCTGCACGACGTGACACCATGCTTTCAGAAGCACTCTTACCTTCCATGCCAATGAGCAGCAGGTTAGAGGTCAGCTGCCCCCAGCCACGCTTCCCCTGTTGCTTATTAATCCAGTTCCAGTTAAAACCCAAGAAGTCCATAACGATCTTCCTCCCCACAGTGTCATTGAGCGTTTGCTGCAGATACAACCTACATTCCCCAAGGAAAGAAATTCCATCAGTCCATGAGCTCAATCCCTAGTATGACCCCCATGTCTGGGAACCCAGTCTGTCACTAACATTCTCAAAAGAGAACAGCTGCAGCCATGCAGGACTTTAATGCGGATTCAGACAGGAATTCTTTCTCCCTGTCTGAGCTCTGTTCCATAACAAGTTCTTTAGAGTTGAGAGTCTTAAAACCTGGGTCACAGTACAGATTCATTTAAGAATGTGCACACACAGGGAAAGTCACACGATTTAGCTTCCTGGAAGCCCATCCACACAGTCCATGATGAATCGGCCTTCCTCCAGACTCTCCTTGAAGGTCACTGTGGCTGATCCTAACTCACCAGGCCTTCCTTGTGGAAAGTTAACTCTTGGTGTCCACTTATTGGTGCCCACAGTCTTATTTAACTTGCTTTGACCAATGAAATGTCCATAGAGGAACTCGTGTTGCTTGCAAGTATAATTTAAGAAACACTCCACGCTACCCTGCTTTCCACTTTGTTACATCCAACTGCAAAATTTCAGATTGTAACTACTGGGACAATTTGTGTCCAAGACTCAAGGAGATGACGCGATCCTTAACAAACATGTCTGAGAGTGAGAAATAAGGACTTCACTGCCTTAAATCCTACCTAACAATTAAGGTGAAATTCATTAGAAATTTCAGGAACTTGGAAAAGCTAGCTACAAGGAACCTTCAAGACTCTCTCACAATAACAGAGCCTGGCCTTTAATTCCTTATTTTTCTGCCTCCACCTCCTGAGCTATAACACACATACCTACAAAACAGAAAGAGCTAGAGAGCTAGAGACACTCCCAGAAATAAATATAAACAACATTCCTATTACAATTTAATAATAAAAGCTCAAATATCTCCCAGCATACGTGTGGAGGTCAGAGGACACTTTGTGGGACTTAGTTCTCGTCTTCCACCATGCAGGTCTTAGGAATAAACTCAAGCTGACAGGCTTGGAAGCAAGCACCTTTACTCACTGGCCCAGACATTTAAAACCTACTCACTTAGGTACATACTGCTGACAGGAAGTCAGGAAAGAACCAAGATAGGGGACTCTAGAGAACTCCAGACAGGGCCAAATGTAGGATAGTCATGCACTATCAAGTATTCCACAATTTTACAGCGTGGGACTGACTGGAAGCTACATAACTGGGCTGTCCTCAGAAGTGAAAATAAAAACAAAGAGGAAAAAAGAAGCACTCCAAGTGATGATCTGATTGATCTTCCCAATGCTAAAAAAGATCTTGATACCCCTTAACCCCAATCCATACCAAACACTGGACTGTTCAGCATGAACTGTCCACAGACAGTATTCTAGAACCGAGACTGCAAACTGTCAATTTCAGGCGAAATCTAACAAAAAATTATATTCTCTCTCTCTCTCTCTCTCTCTCTCTCTCTCTCTCTCTCTCTCTCTCTCTCTAAATGTGTGTGTGTGTGTGTGTGTGTTAAAAGTCAGAAGTGGGGCAGGAGAGATGGCTCAGTGATTCAGAGCACTGAGTTCAATTCCCAGCACCCACATGGTGGCTCACACCCATCTCTAATAGGACCTGGTGCTCTCTTCTGGCTGCAGGTATACACTCATACATAAAATATAAAAAAAAAGTCAGAAGGGGCTGGAGACATGGCTCAGCAGGTAAGAGCTCCTGCAGAGAGGTCTGGGGTTCAGTTCCCAGAACCCTCATGACAGTTAACAATTGTCTGTTATTCCATTTGCAGAGAATAGGGTACCTTCTTCTGGCCTCCATGGGTACTGAATATACACAGGGCACAAGACATACATATGTGCAAACACCCATACACGCCTTTAATCCCAGCAGTCAAGGCAGAGGCAGAAGAATCTTGGTGAGTTTGAGGTCAGTCTGGTCTGTATGGTAAGTTCCAGGCCAGCCAGAGATAGAGAGTGAGAGCCTGCTCCACCCCCCAAAACTAAACCAAAACCCCAAACAACTAAAAACAAAGACCCATACAATGACTTCTCACTTCCAACAGGACATATACACCTTCATTCAGCCTTTTTAAACTTTCTGCCTAGACATAGTCAAGCCTTTCTCTCATCCGATTGACGCGGCGACAGTCACTCTCACTACCTAAGATAGGAAATTAGATTCACAGTTCAAGACTAACGCTATTCTCATTCCTCAAGCTTCTAGAAAGAACCATCAAAAACTCAAGGCCCTTACAGAATAGTAAAGAGGGATATTCATTCGTTAGTAATGGAACACAGACGTTGGCGATACCAATCTCCTCTTACCCAATTCCACCACACCTTCAAACCAGTACAGGAAAGTGGGTGCCCTAATTCTACCGACTGGGCAACTTACCGCTCTTCTCCTCCCCGCTGCTGTATGTCCTGTAGTTTCTCAACGAACTCGTGGAATTTAATTTCCTCCCTGTTGGACCTTGGCTTAAAGTTCTGGAAATTAGCCATCTTCTTTTCATCATAGTATAAGAATTTATGGGTGCTGGCGCTGTACACAGAGAAATCCCCGTTGCCTATATTCTCTTGCAGGTAGTCTAGGTCCCACTTCAGAGCGGGATACACAAGGTTTGTGTCGGTCAGCACCACAGGCTCCTAAGTAAAAACACCAGAAAAAGATCAACCAAGTGATACCAAGGAGCTAATCATTTCTTTTCGAAGATATTTGTACTTGTCAAATTCCCAACAATTTCTCCTGTCGAGCACTCCTGACATACCATCTCTCTTTCCCGCCCCATAAGTCTCAGTCCACAACCCGGCCAGTTTCCCAGCGCACCCCCTAACTAGGTCCCTTCCTCCACCCCTTCAGCAGCAGCCCCGCCCCCCACCTCATTTTCGATGAGCTCTTCCGCCCGAGGGTCACTCTGGCTCAGACGCGGGATAGGCCGGGTCGGGAAGCTGTAACTTCGCAGTTGGGACTCATCCCAGGCGGGGCCCGGAGCTCCCGCCTCTTCCCGGGGCTCTCCAGAACCAGAGGCCGCATCTTCGGCCGCCGTCGCCGCCATCTCTGCTCTAGGGACGGCCCCGCCGGAAGCGGAAGTCCCACCCTTTCCGGAAGTACCCACAGCGTACACCACTATAGATGAACTGCAAGAGAAACCGGTCCAGACCCTTTAAGAAGGTGGGGCCCTAGGTTGAAGGAGCGCCCCCTAATGGTGACCTGCAGCACTACAGCCTAGGCTCCACTGCCGTCCTCAGTCCTTCAGAAAATGAACTAACAAATAATTAACGAAATATTAAAAATAGTACAAAATATCGCTGCCTGGGCATGCTCAAGCTTACAGGGGCAAATATAATTACGCTTTAAACTTTGCTCTCATGAGTGCCGAGAGAAGCCAATGTTAGGCCCACTTAAGGAATCACTAGAAAAATCAATTTTCATATAGAACTTGGGTAGAGCCATCCTGGAAGCTTAGGCATATGATAAATGGCAAGCTGAATTCATTCATGATCAAGGGAAGACCAAGAGCTTATAGTTCCAGCTACTCCAGAGGCTGCAGCAGGAAAGAAGATCGCTTGAATTCAAGAGTTCTGAACCAGTCTGGACAACAAGGCAAGTCACCATCTCTTTAAAAAAAAAAAGAAAAGTAAAATCAAATCAAATCAATGGAAGAATTCTTTCGTTTAGTACCACCTGAGTTTTCTGAATCTGTAACCATCTCTCCTACTTAAATCTATCCTTGCAATGAGACCAGTGTTACAGAGATCCTTCCCAGTAAGCCACCACCTCATAGAGCTACACAGATTATTAGAAATGGGTTAATCAGGATGCGAAAATTAGCCAGTAAGAGGCTAGAGTTAATGGGCCAAGCAGTGTTTAAAAGAATACAATTTGTGTGTTGTTATTTCGGGTATAAAGCTAGCCATGCAGGAGCTGGGTGGAACGCAGCCCGCCGCTCCTCACTACAACTTAGCTTTAAAAATGAAATATTAACACATACTACATTGTATTCACATTAAGTGAAAGAAGATAGACACAAAAGCCACATAGTGTATGATTGCATTTCTATAAATATACAGACTAGGCAAAAGCGTAGAAACAAAAAATAGGTTAGTGATTGCCAATGTGTGGCAGCAGAGGAAATAAGTTAACAGGTATGAGGTTTTCTGGGGGAGCGACAAGACGTTGTAGAATTGGACAGAAGAGATGGTTACACACCTTCGTGATGTGCATTGAAAGTCGTCACACACCTTTGTTTTTGAGACACAGCATAGTGTAGCCCAGATTTGCCTTCGGTTCATTATGGAGCTCAGGCTAGGTTTGAACGCCTGACTGTTCTGCCTGTTCTTCTCAAGTGGTAATATTGCCAAAGTACACCATCAGGTGAGGCTTGTTGTGGTTTTTGTTTATTTGTTTTTTGTTGTTGTTGTTTTTCTTTCGAGATAGGGTTTCTCTGTAGCTTTGGAGCCTGTCCTGGAACTAGCTCTTGTAGACCATCCTGGCCTCAAACTCAGAGATCCGCCTGCCTCTGCCTCCCAAGAGCTGGGATTAAAGGCGTCCACCACCTTCGCTGGGCACTTGTTGTGTTCTTTAGAAGAATACTTTGTCTCTTATGGGACTTGAAGGGGAGTTGGGGAGCCGGAGGGAAGTAGGAGGAGGGGAGGAAGTGGAAATTTTGATTGGTATTATTTATAAGGTAATAAAAAATCTGCTGGAAAAAAAAGAAAAAAATAGAGTACTTTATGGGGCTAGAGAGATGTCTCAGAGGTTAACCGATTTGGAGGCTCAAACAAAATTAAGAACTAAATTTGAAAAACGACTACGTGTGATAATGACCTGTGATGACAGAAGGCGAAACGGCAGTCAAGGGAGTGGTGGGAGGCAAGCAATTTGAGGAAAGAGTATCTGATTTTATTTTGGTCAGTTGTCTGAGATGTTCCGTGGGATGTCTGAAACGACACCAATCACCTGAAGGCGAAAAGAAACACCATAACTTGAAATCCCAAAGAAGAAATAGCTTTTAATTTCTCTCCTTGCCATCCGCTCCCCGCCCAAGTAGAACCAGCGTTCTTAAAGCCCGCTCAGCTTGACCCTGGAGACCTCTGCGCCGGTTTCAGCGGTCGCGTTTGGCCCCGCTCAGCCACCGTGACTCGCCTTTGCGCATGTGCAAGGGTGAACGGCAGAGAAGGTGAAGATGGCGGCGCCCGGGGCTGCAGCTCTGGGAGTCCGGTGGCTGCAAAGGGCAACCCGCGGCATGGTGCCACTGGGGTCATGGAGAGGTCCGCAAGAACGCTCGAGACGCTGGTGTGGGAAGGGGGTGCCTGATGTTTGCTGTCCTGGGAGGGGGCATCCTTGGGACGGTGGCGGTGGTGTGCCAGCCGGGGGGCAGGTGAATTAGTGTGTCCAGGAGAGGTGATCCGGAGGGTTGCGGTGGTCCGGCACAGTGCGGAGCTCCGACCTCTACAGTCATTGCGGCCTTCTGGGTGGCTAGAGCACCGTGTCCCTCTGACATGCATCCCTTTGCGTTCAGCCTTCCATATGACCAAGGACATGCTGCCGGGGCGGTATCCTAGGACCCCAGAGGAACGCGCCGCGGCCGCCAAGAAGTATAATATGCGCGTGGAAGACTACGAGCCGTACCCGGATGATGGCATGGGGTGAGGTAGAGGGAGGTCTACTCGCTTTAGGGACAGTGATGGGTGAAGACCTTTGGATTGGGTGGTGCGACTCTGACGTTTTCTCTTGAGCCTGCTTGTGACCCCGTCAGAGTCATGGGCGTGGGTGCTTTCCTTGGTGGGGGAAAGTGGGAGTGGGTGAGTGAGCAGCTGCAGCCGAGAGGACTGCAATTTTTTCCTTGGCTCAGGCTGCTTCCTCAAATGAGAAAGCCGAGGTTTTAATACCTCCCTCGAGGACTCCAGAATAGCAGAATTCTTCCTGGGCTCCATCCAGAGCACTGGGTTTCATTTAGATTGCGCATCTGCTGGGCTCAGGTGCTGTCAGCTAGGCACGTGATCAGGCTGAAGCTGTACTCCTGTCACAAGAACCTTATCCTGGATGGTGTACTCTGTGTTTGTATATGTCTCATCAAAAATGTGTGTAACCCCCCTTTTTGACGTTAGCGATGTGAAAATCGCATCAACTGTTAAGCAAATTAAACGTCAGCCTTCATTCTCCAGTTGGTGTTAGTCTCTTCTGCCCGTGTTCATGTAGCGTGGTTAATTATGTATAGTGGTTAAAGATCACCACTAAACATAATTAGAATTTCTATACAAAATTAGAACTTCTTCTTTTAGCACCTCTTGTTTTTGTTTCCCTGTCAGTTTCTTTGACATGTGTCCAGTTACCATCCTTCCTTCCTTCCTTCCTTCCTTTCTTTCTTTCTTTCTTTCTTTCTTTCTTTCTTTCTCTCTCTCTCTCTCTCTCTTTCTCTCTCTCTCTCTCTCTCTCTCTCTCTCTCTCTCTGTCTTTCTTTCTTTCTTTCTTCTTCTTCTCACTTTTTTTTAAAACTGTTGTGGACAGGAACAGCCTGACTAGTAGTCTGTGAACATGGATTTGTAGAACCCAGCTAAACAAGACCTCCTATGAGGCTTTTGAAGCATGAGGCTTTTGAAGCATGAGGCTGTATATCAACTTGTGATTAAGAAACATAGTAGTGTTGGGCGGTGGTGGCTTTAATCCCAGCACTCGGGAGGCAGAGGCAGGTGGATCTTTGTGAGTTTGAGGCCAGCCTGGTCTACAAGAACTAGTTCTGGGGCTGGAGAAATGGCTCAGCGATTAAGAGCATTGGCTGCTCTTCCAGAGGTCCTGAGTTCAATTCCCAGCAACCACATGGTGGCTCACAACCATCTGGCGCCCTCCTCTGGTGTGTGGTCATACATCGAGGCAGAATGTTGTATACATAATAAATAAATAAATAAATAAATAAATAAATAAATAAATCTAAAAAAAAAAAAAAAGAACTAGCTCCAGGACAGGCTCCAAATCTACAGAGAAACCAAGTCAAAAAAAAAAAAAAAAAAAAAGAAAAGAAAAGAAAAAAGAAACACAGTAACTATGGAGAAAAAAAGGCTTTTCTAATACATACCCTTTTTAGTTTTTGTTCCAACAAATGTGGATGGCTTTGTATTTAGAGTCTGTCTGATGAAGGAATGGAATAATTGATTGCTAAAATTCTCTTTTAATCCTAATTATAGAGTTGTGTGGCTTTTCTCTGTAAAAGAGAATAAGGCCATGTCGTTTCAGAGTTTAACATAACCTCTAATTGTAGCTTGGACCTTTTTTTGTTCTTTTATTAGTACTAGAACTTGAGATCTTGAGTCGGGGTGTGTTCTTCTATCCTTCAGTGAAGTAGTTATAGCCATTGCTTTGTTTCTGATCTTTGAGATGAGGGCTCTTAATTGTCAGTGACTGCTCACAGCCCTTTCCAGAAGTTCTTGCTGTCTGTCCCTCAGGTATGGCGACTACCCAAAGCTCCCTGACCGCTCACAGCATGAGAGGGATCCATGGTATGAATGGGACCACACAGACCTGCGGTTGAACTGGGGCGAACCGGTGAGAAAACCATTGCCCATTTTGCTTTCTCTCCGTGTCCTTAGGTTTGCCAGGACTCTCTTTAGTTCATGTAGTACATTTTTGCTAAGCTTTTCTGCTCAAGGAAGCAGCATCCGGGGATGTAAGACCCGAAGTTCTACATTTGGCATGTGGATGGAACAGACAGGAAATCCCAGAGTCCTGTGTACTGTGAACATTGCACACGCCGTGCTCGAGCCACCTTTGAGGAAGCCAGCATTCATCTTTGCTGGCTCTGTGTCTTGGACGTGGCTCTCAGAATATTGCTCCCAGGAAGTGGAATGGTTCTGTTAAGCCTTGTGACGGGCTCTGGCCATTTTAGATTGCCTGCTGTCTTAGTTAGGGTTTCTATTGCTATGATGAAACACCATAACCAAAAAGCAACCTGGGAAGGAAAAGGTTCATTTGGCTTATACTTCCTCAGCACTGTTCATCATCAAAGTAAGTCAGGACAGGAACTCAAAACAGTATCCCAGATGCAGGAGCTGATGCAGAGGCCTTGGAGGGGTGCTGCTTACTGACTTGCTCCCCATGACTTCCTCGGCCTGCTTTCTCACAGAACCCAGGACCACCAGCCCAGGGATGGTCCCACCTACAATGGGCTGGGCCCTCCTCCATCAATTACTAATTAATTCCATCTAGCTCTTATGGAAGCATTGTTTCATATGAGATTCCCATCTTTTAGATAACTCTGGGTTGTGTCAAGTTGACGTAAGACTAGCCAGCACACCTGTCTTACAGGAAGAGTAGTTTGTGATGGTTCAATGCCTTTCTGCCACAGATCCACTGGGACCTAGACATGTATATCAGGAATCGTGTGGACACATCCCCTACACCTGTTTCTTGGGATGTCATGTGTAAACATCTCTTCGGCTTCGTGGCCTTCATGGTTTTCATGTTCTGGGTTGGGGAGATTTTCCCTTCCTACCAGCCTGTGGTGAGTATTTTATGGATTCCCCAAAACATAGCTGCTTTTCCTCCTTTGCTGAGGGCGTGAAGTCTCTGGAGTAGTAAACGAGCCGATACCGGGTTTGGCTTCCT